GCCCACAGCGGGGCGGAGCGCACCTGCTCCGGGCTCTGACCGACGGCCCAAGGAGCCAGAGCCCTGGTCGCAGGCAGGCTCTTCGCGCGCCCGCAACTCTTTTGCCTTCCCGCCCTTGCCACCCGCCGCCTCCAGATCTCAGCCTGCAGTTTCCCAGTCTTCGCGGCTTAGCTGGTGCGTCCGCCCTGCACGGCGCTCAGAGCGACTAGATCCCGCGCGCTCGATAGCAGGACCAGGGGCTGGACCGAATATAGGGGTATCTTTCACTTCACAGAGAGTGCTTTTATTTGACGCGTATTTATTTTTAGCACTTTTTAATTCATTCATTAACCCAACAACTATTTGTTAAGCAACTGTATGTGCCAGGAACTGTTTCAGGCACTGGACATACAGCAGTTGGGAAAAAGCAGATCCTCCAAAATCCCTGCTGTCATGGGGCGTACACGTGCTTCTCACGTTACCCTGAAGTTAACTTTTTGAGATTTAGAGCAGGGACCTAATCTTTTATGGGAATTAAAGATATGAGATAAATACTATGTTGGGCAGATATGGGAATTATAACCTAAAGCTATTTAATGAATATGCTGAAGGACTCAGGGCTCGTAACTGACAGGGCTCCAGGCTCCAGGTGTAGAAAAGGATCAAACACCTTCCCTCCAAAGCCTGTGTAAAGATGTTTCCTTTTTCCTTTATCCATCAACACATAGCAGAGCCTGTATTCTGTGCTGGGAACTGTGCTAGGTTCTGGAGGTACAAAGAATTCTGAACTGGGTCTCTGCTTGCAAGGAGCTTTGAGTCTAGACTGGGAGAGGTAGGAAAACCACCAACACAAAGTAGAACTGTTAAATTAGAGGTGACAGGTGGGAGGAAAGGAAAAGGGATTCATTCTTGGGGGCTACTTCATTGTGGTTTTCATCACAATACCTAGATAGCCTCACACAAGGGCCTAGTCCTGTGGTTTTCAAACTTCATTATTGAGATCTTTAGGCATAGCAGAAGTGGTTCAGAGGTTCCACAAACTTTTATCAATCACATTTTATTTTTAAAGTTTTTATTTTCTCTATGAGGTATTTCTTAGAATACATAGACATCTGTTTTAAAGAGTAAAAAAATCGTAGAAGATTTATTAAAAACAGCAGAGCCCTGACTCCATCATCTCTTCGGCTTTTCAATGTTTCTTTTTGGCATTGTTCTTCCTATCTCTGGCCGTCCTCCAGCTGTCCCCTCCCCATTACAGGAATCCAAGGAGATGTGTCCATCCAAAGACCATTTACTTCCTCATAGGCCATATTTTGAATATATGAGACCCTGGAATTCCCTGCCCTGGAATTCCCTGCCCAGCTTGCTTCCTGGGCCTGTACCAGCTTCTTTCTTGGATCTGTCCTCCCCAGGGAGACCTTGCTGATGGTGTGGGCATCCCTAGGCCTGAGGGGTAGCTCAGGGGCAGCTTTTTGCAAGATATGTGAGCACAAGCTGGGGTATCCGCAGGAGCCTGAGGCTCTCTCATAAAGGACAGAGGCACAGGCAGAGGGAAGCGGGGTGAGGGGTCAGGCAAGAGCCAGGAGCTGGGGGCTGCTATTTTCTAGTGCAGAACTGAGGTTTCCAAAAATTTTAATTTAGAACTTGGCCTTCCAGGTCCTTAAAAAGGTATATTTGTAAAGTGAGGAGTTTAGCAGGTATTTTATTTAACAATTAGCTTAATTTATAACATTAAAACATTTAGTATGTAAGTCTATATTATTGTCTTGTCCAGCCCCACAAATAATCGGAGATTTTCCCTTCCTCCCGTCCTACCCCTTGCTTATACCTCATTCTCATCTCCTGTCTGCCTAATTTAATTAAGTAGTTTTTAGTTTTTGTTAGTTCAATTTTTAGTTCTTACAATACAGTGACTACATATGCTATTCAGAGTTGAGCTGTATAGAAAACTTTGATTACCCTTTCCTACACAGCTTTTTTCTTTTCCTGAAATTAATAATTATCTTGTTTTTTCATTTGTTTAGTTTTCTATGTATTTATCACAAAATCTGTCTCAAAATCTTCCCCCTGTTGTCTAAATCCCTTTTCAGAATATCTAGATATAGCAGATACTCTACCAATTTCACCTTGAAGACGTCTCTGCTGGAGCCTCTGACCTGCTCCAATCTGAGTGTTTATCCTCTATTCTGCTGTACATCCGGCAACCTGGCATCTCCTTTCTCATCCTCCTGGGCATTTTCTTTGTCTCCTTTGTTGGACCTTTTATTTGCCTTATTCCATGTCTTTCTCTTTTTTGATTTATTCTCTATTTTTGGTGGAGACCATCTTCCAGAAGCTTCCTAAGAAAGGAGGTGGTAAATTGTTTTGAAACTGCATGTTTGACATTGCCATTATTCTGCTCTGACACTGGGTGGGAATTGATTTTCTTAGGAATTTTGAAGACATTGAAACATTACCTTCTGGCTTTCAATCATTGCTTTTGAGAAGTCTGAAGCCTTTTAACTCCTAATCCTGTGACTTTCTCCCTGTCTCTGAACCTCTCCTTGTCTCCAGTGTTCTGAAATGGCAGTGATATATTTTGGTGAGAGGCTATTTGTTGTGTTGGACACTCAGTGCCCCTCACTTCTGGGAAATAATCCTGAATCATTCCATCGATGATTTCTTCCCTTCTATTTTCTCTGTTCTTTCTTTTCTGGAACTCCTATAATTCAGATGATGGATCTGCTGGACTGGTCCTTCTGATTTCTTTTTTTTTCTCTCTTTTCCATCTTTTTACTTGGTTTTCTTGGAGATTTCCTCAATTTTATCTTCTCATTCTTCTACTAAGAGAACTTCTACTGAGTTTTCAATATTTTAAAGATTTTTATTATTCACCTTATTTTTATTCTC